CTACATAGTGATTAGCTGCTAAACTACTAACAGTTTGACCTACACACGATGTCAAGCTACTTACGAACCTTGACAACACACTAAACTGCATTAAGTTAGGCTCAAGGACACAAACAAAGCTCACTATTACTCACCTAACTTACACAAAAGCTCCCACCAAACTATGCAATACAAACCTGAGTGCATATTAACATTAACACTCCACAAAATGGTCCCCTGGTACCTGCCTAACCAGGACTAAAGCCTAAATATCTTCTGAGACGTGCCGGGCTAGAGGTGGCTTTGAAAGCAGAACATCAGTAGTCTTATTTGAGACTTTGACTTGCTTACCCCTGACAGAGACTGGTGTCTCCACCCAGGATTGCCTCGAAAATAAAAAAGACAAAACAACAAATGAATGAACCAAACTTGTTGGAACACTCCCTGGTCTAGCCAGAGGGACCAAACTAAACACTCAGAGCCAAAAGGGAGACTAAACTAGCAGCCATAAACAACTAGACTGCATATCCACAACCTAAACCCCAAAACTACTAACAATAGGAGAACCAAACTAGGCAAACTATACTCCGAATTCAAACCAAAAATAGGACGAGCCCCCAATATGTTACGCCCTGGCTCAGTGGGTGCAACACAGCGGAAAACAACAAAACCTTTAGCTTATCAAAATAGGATTTATTACGAAACTAGGAGTTAAAACATAGAAAAGGGGGACAAGGAAATGATGGTGAGCAGCAGTGCTGCTGTTCTGGCTGCAAGGCTGGAGAGAGAGCCAGGGTGGAGCCAAGGCGGACCTTTAAATACTCCAGCTCAATTAGGGTTTAGGGCAGGCTGGAAAACCTGGAACTGGAAGACATGTTTAATACAGCTCCATACATAACAAGCTGTAAAACGTTTCCCCGCCCATTCCTGATGAATGAGCCATGGATGATGTGAAGGGTGACAGACCAAGTAGTGTGGCAAAGTAAAGCCTTTTCCCCCTTACTGAATTTCACTAGGGGCTCATATATCAACATTTTCAGATTCCAGATTAGTCATCACCAATTTGGTATCAATCCACGCAGAGGAAACTTTTTCCATTTTCATAGCATTTCATTATGACAACTTAAATTTGTCATCATCTCCTTACCATGGTGGCTAAATACAGTTACTCCAGAATGTTAATTAAGTAAAAACCGCTCACTTATGCATCTCTTTTCAAACTGCACAGCTGCAAGTTTGAGAATACTTTAGGAACACTGTCATAGTCTATATTTCCTGCAGCTGCTCTCATTTAAACGAATAGTTCACACCTGCTAATGAAGTTCAAACCCCATGCAGTTTAGATAGCAAAATAGCTTATAACATCTGAAATCAATCCATTTAAAATGAGATGTGTGTGGCTTGATGCAGATTGATTTGCGAGCAAGAAAAACAACATAAACTTGCCAGTGCACCCGCTGAATAAAAGCTAAATATGTCGTTTACCTGTCCATCCGCCTCCAGGAGCGCGCTAAAAGTAACAAACAGCGCTAAGAGCGTCCCGCATGCGGCTAAAGCCATAGTGAATGTGGCGCTCTGCTGCTGTGGAGCGGCTCAACAGCTGGATGCAGAGGGCTGGAACACACCAGCCCTCCTCCCCTCTGTCGATGGGAATCCTGCTGTTCATGCTGACCTGCTGTTTATCAAGAAAAAAGCCCCCAGGAATCCATAACCCTCCTAAATCAGCTACAATTTTAATCTGCTGCTGCACGCTCTATTAAATGGAAAACAAAAGCAACTTCTTAAATTACATTTAAATTCAATCTGGATTGATAATTAGAAATCCCGATGTTTCTCAGTTTCTCTTGGTATTGCACTGTTTCATTTATTTTTCAAAGTGATGATTGAACCAATGTCTCCCTCTTCAGTTAACACATAGGCTACATTCATTTAAAGGAAAGGTCCAGCCTGAAGCTGGGAAAGTGGGGGAAACTGGTACAGGTTGATTCATATCAGATTGAAACTGTGCTCCATATCTTTTTCTTTTAAAAACAAAATACGTTTTTATACTTTCGTTGATAATATGTGTTTTTAATAGTATTTTTCTAATGATCTAATGGTGTTGTTGGGCAGGTGAGTGCCCGGGGTCTCGCCTGCACAGCCTCCTCCTCCCAGTCCCTCTCACGCAGGCATGATCCACCCCATTAAAGCTTTCCATGACACTGGCCGCCCTTCTTGGTCCTGAGGTGCAGCTCTCTGATGGTGTGGATGCGGTTGAGCATGGCCTCCATGGTGACGCTGTCCAGGGGGCTGGAGGAGAACCACAGCGGGCTGTTGGGGACGCAGCAGCGCTCGGGGTTCAGGTAGAACAAGTCGGTGCGCTGCTTCACCGACTCCGAGCTGAAAGGAAACCAAAACAAAATCCATGTGTCTTTTCCAGCAGGAGACGCCGAACCTCTGGGCTTCACTCACCACTTGGAGAGGTAGAACTCATAGAGCCTGACGGGACAGCGGAGACGGTTCTCTGCGTTCTCCATCATTTCCGGGATGTCTTCTTTACTCTCCTCCTCTTTGCGCCTTTTAGCTGGAACGCCGTCCGGATCTGAAAAGGAGCCAAAAAAATGTAATTGGAATGTAATTACGGATAGTCAGACCAAACCAAATTTATGTTAAAACGGCTTGCCATATAAAGCTTTCCATGACACCATTAATGACCACGTGTGAAGCAAAAGAGCTGGGACCAAGAATATCTCAACTTAACCACAAGATGGGGCTAAAAGATATGCTTTTGCTGTCATTTTGTTTCCAACAGCACAAACTGCCTTCATGGCCAGCTCAAAGAAAAAGGCACTGGAGATCTGAACTGAGTGTATAAAGAAATTGATGCACGTTTGAAAATCTAAGTTGTTTTTTTTTTTAAGTGAGCAAACACATGTGTTAATACTAAGATTGTGTCATTGTAGAGGGGTTTTTTTATGTCATCGTTGCCATGTCATTTGTTACCCTGAATATCAGTATGTATTTACTTGATCTTGTTTTCTGTGACAAATCATTTCAGCTGCATGGCTCGTGAGTCAGAAGTCTACTGCCATGATTAAAGTGGCCTTATGTTTACAGCTCTTCAGAAATGGCCTTTAAGATTAAACTTTTATTTTCATTTCATTTTAAATGGAACATTACTTTGGTGGCGCTTTCTCATGCATCTTCTGGCTTTCCTGATGAAACATTCAACCTTTCAAGAGAATTCTGAAAAAAATATGCATTCATTCACATTCACGTGAATCTGAACAAGTCCTGAAAGACGTACTGAAACAATAGTCTTCATTGGTTTGTAGGTGGTTTTACTCCTATCCAACATCTCCCTCTGTTGGCTAAAGTCTTTACTGGACAACAGATTCTCAACTAATGTGTGACATCTAATGAATGAGTGCTGTATTTTAAGATATCTCTAATTGGTCATTTGAGTTAATTACATCATTTTATTTTCTATTTAATCAGAACATGTGTCAAATAGCAATTCAATTCTTTTTCAATTAATTACAAAGAGGTATGATGCATGCGTTGTAGTCACCTTTACATTTCTCTTGCACAGACAGAAAGTTTCAGTTTTAACCTTATAATGATGTTGAATTTTTTTGCCAGTACCAGTGTCCAAAAACACATTCGTATACTCAATGCTGCAATGCATAGAAATAGTCCATGCGTCAGCAAAAATATGTAATGCATTTTTAAACCAAAACCTCTCATTGAAGCTGATGGTTGTGTCCAGTCTCTGCAAACCAGCAAAAAGCTCCCTGCCTGTCTCCGATTCATGAACATACACACTATAGACATTTTGCTGGTGGTTTTAACGCAAGCATATGCTGACTTTTGAACTCACGTCTTGCTCTGTGACCCAAGATCTCTAAACATAGCTTTTCATTTGCATCATTATTTTTTAAACTCAGTGAAGTATTAACTTAGGTTTAACAAAGTTAAAACGGGGAGATTAAGATCCGAGAGATATGAACTAAATTCCTTCATAATAACAGATATATTTTAAAGGATGAAATATCAATGTTAAATATCTAATGAATAAATATGATCACTATATGGTCCCCAAACAAATAAATGTGTACTTTTCCAAGCAACAAATACTATATTTGTCTTCTTTTAAATAAAGCATGTATAATGTTTATAACTGCGATCTAATATCAAACACATGTGACAGGTTTTAAGTTGATTTTGATGGATTTTCATTGGCTACAGAATGAATGGAAATCAATGGCTTCTCTATGTGAGAAAACACATTTTTTCCCCGTCTTGTCAACCTCACAGTTAAGGCACTAAAAAAGGTTTAAAAGTTATGCATTTCATCTGAACTGACTGCAACAAAAAAATAAGTTCAGATGTCCAGGATGCAGTCAGTATTTATTTTTGGAAATACATATACAATGTGCCTATAAAATGAGTCGCATATCTGTACTATTTTGTATTGACCTTTTATGGACATAAAAGGTATGTAGCAGATTGAACCTTTTGTTTGCGCAGTGTATTTGAGCAAATCCTCCCATTTGGTTTGGCTGCTTAGCAATTCCCAAGCAAAAAACATCATATTTGATACTTTGATCATACAAAAAAACGGAGTTTTGTCACTTGTGAAAACCTTGATATAGTCCTATATTTGTATTAGTATTCAGTCATATCCTGCTCCTGTGATGAGAGCAGTTGTGTAAACATTAGTGAGATCATCCCTTTAGGAGGTCTCATTAAACTGCTGGATCACAGCAGTGTCCAATCAGCAGCATTCACACAGGACCAAGAGGGATGTAAGGTTGGGGCCATCATGGAGTTCATATTTGGTTTAACTCTCTAAACATTTCACGTAGCTGTAATTAGTATGTTATACACACATTCGGCCAAACAGACGTCTTTATCGCTCTCTCACAGTCTTACCTAAAAACACAGCCCTGAATAAAGAATGGTACCAGAATGTCCTCCGAGAGCAACTTCTCCCAACCGTCCAAGAGCAGTTTGGTGATGAACAATGCCTTTTCCAGCATGATGGAGCACCTTGCCATAAAGCAAAGGTGATATCTAACTGGTTTAGGGAACAAAACATAAAGATTTTGGGTCCATGGCCTGGAAACTCCCCATATCATAATACCATTGAAAACTTGTGGTCAATCATAAAGAGACGGGTGGAAAAACAAAAACCTAGGAATTCTGACAAAATGCAAGCATTGATTGTATTTCTGTATGTGATGACAACATCTGACATACACACATGAAAACCAGAGGGCAGCAGATCATGTGAAAATATAATATTTGGGTCATTCTCAATACTTTTGGCCATGACTGTATATAGCTGAGAACATGACATGTTTTGTTTAGAGACTGGAAAGATTATCTTTTGGAAAATCAAAAAAATGTTTCAAAATGTAAGAATGTGAATACTCAATATAGGATCAACAGATTACAGTAGCTTTTTAACATCAGGGCAAATACAGGAATAGAATTCCATCCATCCATACATACATGGATGTGGAAATATGTGAACACAGACATTTGCATCCTCACTGGTCCCCTGTGAAAGCATCACATATGATAAGAGTCACAAAAACCCTTTGAAATATCTGTGTTCTTATTTTTTCATGAGGACACATAATCAGTTTATCCTCTGAGAGAGTGAGGAGGAAAGACATCAGTATGATCTTAGAGGAGCAACTGTTGCTGCCCATCGATTTAGGAAGGGTCCCAAGGCCATTTCCAAACTACTTCAGACCTTCTGAGAGCACAATCCTAAGCTGAAAGCCTCCATGAGCTAAAGCCACCGTGGAAAGAAAACTACCAGGAACCAGTGTCTCACTGTTGTGCTGACTGAGGAGGACTTCCTCTTCAAATAAAGACAGTAAACAAAGCAAACCTTTGTGCGCCACGGGTAGTTGAAGGTTATTTCCTCTCCGGGGGATATTTTCCTCTTTGCAAACAGGCACAGACGTGGTTTCCCATCATAGAGGATCTTCATGAGTCTGCAGTTGGGGTTCAGGTGGTCGTCGTTCACAAGCCTCCCGAGGCTCCCGTCTTCTGCCGAAGCATCGACGCTACCAGAGAAAGAGAAACGAAAACAGACGACGGTGGAGGAGAGTCGAAGCGGCTCATTCAAACTGTTGCCCCTAGGCTGGTTTGTGGATGGTTTATCTTTTGAAACTCACCTCCAGTTTGTCCGACTCAACGAGAAGTCAAACACAAAACCATTCAGAGTGTCTCTCTTCCTTTGGGGGTCTTCATGTCGAGAGATCTCTCCCCGCTACTCGACAACAAAGCTGGGAGGTTCGATGGACTCGTTGGTGAACACTGCTCTTCCTGGAGAAACAGACATTGGGGGTCATCTCAGAAAAACTGCTCCATCGTTTGTTCCCTCAGGATTCGACGGCTGGAGTTCTTTAATATTGTTCTGACCCCAAAAACCCTCTAAAAAAGCTGCCGGCTGATCCAAAATCTGCTGAGAACCAGCAGCAGCCTTCAGGTATCAGCCCCCCCCCTCTGAGGAACCAGTCTGGGTTGTCTGGGCATTGTTGTCATTAGTTGTCATTTACTTGTGTTTCTCTCTCTCAGCAGGTACCTCTGGCCCGGTGCCTCATTCCTGTCCACTCAAAATCTTTTTAAATAATAAAATGTATATAAAAAAAGATGTATTCAACAAATGAACAAAATTAAAAATAAATCAACTTTTTTATCCGCCACATCTGACTGTCCAAATTCAAATGAACAAACATTACGATCCTGTAACGGCTCCATAATCTACCGAAAGATTCCACAAACCTTTGAAGGAGTCGATAAACTTCTCCTGGAGGAACCCTTTGTCTCTTTGTGCCTTAATGTGCTCCAGTGCATCCTGCACCGGAGTCAGCGGCCCGTCCAGGGGTTCTTCTTCTTCTGCAAAGAGTTCAAAAGCCAGAAAAATCACAACAGGCACCATTCAATATTTACACATAATCCTCAAAGTCTACCGGCTTGTCTGACAAACATACCGCTCATTTGAGATAAAATATCTGAGTCCTCACTGTCCTCCTCAGCATTTCCGGAGCTGTTCTGCTCAGCATCAGGCTCCAGTTTATCTTGAAAAAAATAAATAAATAAATATTTATTGATTTCATAAACAAATAGACTGCTGTGCCCTGAGGAGGACTCTTACCCTCGAGCTCTAGCTCCT